AACGCCAATCTGAACAAATCTTGCCAAGGAAACCCCACGATAGTGTCGCCTTAGGGTCGCCATAAATTGGAAACAGACTCGAAAGCACGAAACAACTATGTAACGATGACTGAAGCCTTTGGCACTAAACCCTTTCAGTTCTGTTGCATTTTCTGGCTTCGGTTCTGGCATGCTTTTGTGTCTGTGTGTCTGTAGTGCAGGTAGTGTGTTTGTATATTGTGTGTGTGCATAGGTAGATTGTCCAAAGCCAAACAATGGGACTGGAGGAAGGTAACAGGTCAAGAAATCTACCAGAGAGAGCACTGGCCACAACAGGGGAACCTCTCCCGTTCCTCCTGTGTCTGTGTCTGTTGTGTCTGTGGCACGAACTCCTTGCCAGGTTGTCATCCCAACATCTGCGGGGACCTGACTTTGGCGTTCCCAGGTGGATCTTCCTCCCACTCGAGACTTTTCAGAGCGCAGGGCCCAAACACGCAGCTGCCAGGGCAGGATCTAGGTGAGAAAAGGCTGGGTTTGGAACCATCTTCCGAAAACAGAAACTTTAGTATTCCTCTCTTGAGACTGAAAGAAAGAAGTTGGCAGCATGAGCTTTCCTAGACTTCAGTCTGCTGCCTTCAAATTGCAATTGGTGGAGTGGAAAGCCAAGGACAGACATATATATATGTATAGATATAGATATAGATATGTTTGGTGTTCCCTGGCTTTCCACTCCACCAAATCTGAGACAGTAGACTTAAGTCTAGGAAAGCTCATGGTGCCAACTTCATTCGTTCAGTGAGTCTGAAAGGTGCTAAAAGATCTCTCTACACACTCTCTCTGAGTATGTAAAGCTAGTCACCTCTCTGGGGAAAAAAATGGCAAAGGAGGATGGATCCTGGGTAGGGAACAACTTGGGTGACCCCAGCAAAAGGAGGACGAGGCATAGCAAAAATGGAGGACCTTAAAGAAAAATGGAGGGCAAAGCCAAATAAAAGCTCAAAACACTCATAGAAATATAAATCCATGCTTCTGAGTCATGCTCAAAAGGGAGGACATTTTCCTGGACAGAAAGCTGGTATCGTCCTGGAAAAGGAGGAACTCTGGTCACCCAGGTCATGCTCCAAATGGAGAATATTGTGGAATTCCTCCCGGACAGAAGGTTAAAATGGAGGGCATGTCCTGAAAAAGGAGGGCGTTGCATAAAAGCTCAAAACCCTCCTAGAAATATAAATCCATGCTTCTCAGTGATGCTCAAAATGGAGGACATTGTGAAATTCCTCCTGGATAAAAGGCGAAAATGGAGGACACGTCCTGGAAAAGGAGGACGTCTGGTCACCCTGGGAGCGACCACCCCGAGGGCCTTTCCCATTTTTCCTTGTAAAACTCCCAAATCACTCCCCCTTGGCTAGAAAGAAACCTGGCGGCCCTCCTCAAGGGGAGCCATTCTGCCTCTCCACCAACAGGGGGCAGCCTCCGCCGCCAAACGAGGACCGACTAAACGAGGATCGGGGCTGGAAAAGGCTTCTTCCTACCGACGGAATTCTCCGCTTCCCCCAAATCTCCGCTTTTTTTATTTTTTATTTTTATTTTTATTTTTTGCCTTAAAAATCACCTTTTTTTTTTGAGATTATTCGATCCAACCTAAACTCCACTGGAAACCCAAAGCGGGAGGGAAACGATTTCAATTTCCACGTCAAGAGCCACCAAATCGTAGATTTCGAGTCTTTTTTTGCAACAAAAAATGTCCAAAAACCTCTATAAAATTGAGGGTCCTTGGAGTCAAATGGGGTGGGGTGGGGAGGGGAGGAACCATTTTAAACCTCGCCAAAAAACCTGGTCCCCAAAAGGCGCAACTCTGCTTCTTGACAGATTCTGCAAAGAAGAAGAAAAAGTCCCGCAGCTAAAAAGAGAAAAAGAAAGTTTTTGCACGCCGCCCGCTTGCTCTCTTGCCTTGGTTAAATGATACTAATAATTATTATTATTTAAAAGTCTGGGGTGGGTTGGAGATAAGAGGGAGTCTGGAAAGTTTGTTGAGGCATCTGGTTTTAGGGAGGCTGTTTTTCCAACTCGGGTTGTAAAACGCAGGAACAAGAGCCCAAGCCCTTTTTGGCATCCCAAAATCACCTTGGTTTTGTCTGTGTGTGTGTGTGTGTGTGTGTGTGTGTGTGTGTGTGTGTATTGGGGGGGTGTTCTTGGGAAGGAAGAGAGAATGATTCTTTTTAAAACAGAAGAAAGGCCAACTTATTTTTTATGGCCTTTGCTTTTTAAATTTAAAGAAAAGCCCCTCACAAGGCCGGGAGGGAGGCAGAAGAAAACGGCTTCCCTTTTTAATCCCTTCCCCCAATTTATTCCCAAATTAGATCCGTTTTTGCCCAAGTCTCCCGGGCTTTCGACACACAGATACACACACAAAGACACACACACACACACCCCAAAAAAGGAGGATTTTCGTTCCTGGGTGAAACTGAACTCTCGCTGACCCTTTTGGCGACTGTAAGTAATTTAGCAGACAATTGACAATGAAAAGCAAACAAGGATCTCTCCATCTCGATCTCTCTTTCTCTCTGGCCCCAAAAG